CTATAGTTGATTCGGCGCTTCAATACAGAAGAGTATCACATGTTTGTGTAAGTAAAACGTATAAACAGGGCTGAGTTAAGCGGGCGCAGATCGCAACTCTTCTTACAACTCATTCACTAAATCATACAACTAGACATGGACGCAATGGACGTGGACTACTCACTGGGATTCGGTCGCTTTTGCGGGAAATATTGTCAAGATTTCCAAACAGCAACTGAGAAGGAGCTCGAAGATGCTTACAACAAATATAAAAACTTCTATGTCAAATACCATAGCGACCACCCCGCAACAACCACAGACTGCTATGACGAATATCGTGCAACACTCGGCAAGCAAGGTAAGAACACACGTTTATTGGGAGATAGAGGAGCAACGGGGAGAAGAGTTTGAATACTGTTACTGGTTTTGTGCTATATTGCAAGAGAGAGGCAGTTGGGCGTTATTAGTTGGCTGCGTCGTAGAGACATTACGGGGTTCGTAGCAGTAATGGAGAGAGTAGTTGGAATGCATTACGACATGCGTTGGGAGGAGTGTAGAATAGAGTTTAGTAAATGGCAGAGCGGGTTATATGGAGAGAATAATTCGAATGCACTGTGACATGCGCTGGGTTGGGTCGTAGAGCAGAGTCGTAGCAAAGGTTAGGTTATACGTAAGCTCGTTTGAAGGGCAAATAAGGGGATGCTATACGTTTGGGGTTAAGTAGAGTAGGAGCAATGAAGGAAGAATAGTTCGAATGGGCGCAGTAGGCATAGAGTGGAGTATAACCTTGGCTTTTTTTTTGTTAACCCTTCCTGTAGTTGACAGAGTAAGTGAAGAGATAATACCTGAAGAAGCAGAAGATGGCCCTGACAGTTTGATGGTGATAACACCCGAGCGTCTCAAGATATTCACTGACTATATGGAGAGTCACCGCGTTGGCCTAGTACGCAGTCCGCCATATTCGGGCAAGACCACGCTCAGCAGACGACTGCAAGAACATTTCCGCACTCAGGGTATTAATGCCGTTTATATTAACCTAGCAGCATTTGCGAAGGAGTTGGAAGAAGAAGAAGAATGCACCTATGCCCGCTTTAATGCATATTGGGAGTCGAAAACTAATAATTCTTGGGAGAGTCTTATGCAGTATACAATGCCAATTAAGATTATTGTCGATGAGGCACAGGTTATTTATAATACTGCCGCGTCCTTTTGGGGGTCTTTGAAATTTATTTTATCGGATCTACGCAGCCATAACTTCCGGATACTCCTCTTGAGCACATATCATCCGACTTACAATATTGTGACACCCATGACGTTCCCAGATGCACTTGGATTATCCTCTCTTCGTTTGACACAGCATGAAGTTGAAGAGCTTGTGAGAAATTACGTCCACAAGCGACAGAGCGGTACTATTGGTCGGCCCTTCAGCATCCCGAAACTCGTAGAGAACACAATATTCAATTTTACCCATGGATATGCCGGCTTGTGTCGGACAGCTTTGTCAGATTTACGCCAGAAATTCCCAAATGGTGGGTCACCAAATGACATGCTCAAACATCTAGCTTCAACACGATTTTTGAACCGTTTAATGACTTTGCGTGCTCTTTACTGGGCACATGAGTGGGATCCAACAGAGTCAGAAGCTGACCTTTTGCGTAGATTATTACTCAAGTGTGACCCTGACTCAACCTTTCAGCCCCTTAACATCGCATCATTCCCACAGCTTGGAAAGTACCTCAAGATTGGTATTATCATCGAAGACAATGACACCGGAAGAATGTATTTTGCTGCCCCCATTTTGCGGATTGTCCTGAGCAACTGACTGTTTACTGCACCTGTCAACATGCAAAATTCACCTACAAAGACATTTGGCGAATTTTTGGTGCGGACCATTGAGCGAATGCGTCCATCTGTTCTGAGAGACTCCTTTGGACGAGGGGTTGATGACTGCTTGCTCGAAAGAACTTGGCAGATGGAATGGTACCGTACTGCAAGGACCGCAGCACCAGAAGAATCAACAATTAGCCCTGATGTCGGATATGTCTTTGGTTCAGATGGATTCCTTGACTTCTACGTTGATGGTGATTATGGCTGGGGGGTTGAACTGATGCGTGAGGGCAAAAGGCTGGGGGACCATGCAAAGCGATTTGAACAAGGTGGTCAATATGAAGTAATCCCAATGAATGATTGGGCCATTCTTGACTTTCGTCATCACTTTAAACGTGTTCGGAATTTAATGCCTAACTTCTGGTACGTACTCTACTCGGATGATTACAAGCAAGTTACGATCGTGCGTCATGACAAGGAAGATCGTGTTCTTCGCCTAATCGGGGATGATTTTAAGTGAGCTTTAGACTTTAACCCAGAGTCCGATTATGGCAGGCAGGGCGGTTCGTTTTGTCAAGCACCGAATCGTGACGGCGAAAAAAAAATTATATATATATATATAAACTAACTAACTAACGAAAATTAAGCCTGGAAACATATACGTAGTACATAGTTTATCACACGGAATATGTGCTTTGCGGTGGTACCACTGTGATATGTTAATATATTATTCGATTCTTACTTTATAAACAAGATTTCATTTTTTTCCGCACTGTAAAATATATATCAAAATCGGACGAAGTCCGTGCATTAAAATTGAATCCCGTTACAGGTATACATGTGTACGTCTAAAAACCTAAAAGCATTTAAATACATTAATCTTTATAATAATTGACAGTTGTTTAAAATGGATTTAAATAGGCAGATTTATGGACGTTACACTCCCGAAGAATGGGTTGAATATTGCTGGATGCCACAAGTTCGTATTAACGAAACTCCTGCAGAGTGGAAAGAGCGAATTTGGGGCCGTTTAACATATTTCAAAGAAAACGATCTTTTACCCATCGAGAGTAAAAAATATTTTAATGCAAGAAAATTGATACGATTTCCAGACGGTAGTTCATACGCTCCTACGATAGGAATTGCCATCTGTTTGTCTTGCAACGAATTAGTGTACACTGGGAAAAGCATTAAAACTATTGAGAGTCATTGGAAAGCGGCATGTACTGGTAATAAATATTGCGAACTTAAGTATGGAGACTTTTTGAAAATTAAACATAAACACGAATCTGATCGTACGTTCGATGATACGCGTGCCTTGCACTATTATGAGCTATGGATATCAAACGCAATTAGAAGACTCAAACGCGCAAGGGAGGTTGGTAAAAAAATTCAAGCTTGCATAAAGATACAAAGAAAAATTTTGGAATGGATTTATCGTCCTGATGGCTTCGATGCTCAGAAACTTTCCTTACACTAAGCATGTTTACGAAACATTAGAGAAGAAATACACTGTGGTAGCACTTCAAATTAGTAACGTACCTATTAACATAAATCTTATTCTGTGTCCATTTTTAAAGCATGGCCCCAACCCAATCAAATATAGAACGGCTCCTCTTTTGCTCTTGTCAAGTCAATTACGATGAACTGCCGACCTTGCAATTCTTATCGATTTATACTGTATCAACGGCATTACGCCATTTTTTGTATACCGCCTAACTATATCAACCAATTCATCATATGTACCCGCTCCGTTAAAGAACACAATATAATCTAAATTATTTCTTATTAATTTCGGACAATCGAAAAAACTTTGTGTTAAATACCTTCAGAAGGCTTTAAAAACCCTGCCTTTTCCAGTTCCTTCATGACCACCACAGGTACTTTCCATTTTTCCAAGTCTTCAGGATACAGTTGCCAAGGGTAGTAATCCATTAATCAGAGAAACTGTGTCCACCTGATTTTGCCTCACTTTTCCCCTGCTAACAATGCTGTTCAAGAAATTAGCAATAGGTGTGTTGTCATCCATATCAAATACAATGGTTGAGCAGACAGAGATATAATAATAATAATAATAATAATAATAATAATAATAATAATAATAATAATAATAATAATAATAATAATAATAGCAACACTGATCAGTATCTATCACGAGGAACTTTAAGAGGCTTAATCAATGACGTATTATGAGGAACTTTCTATTACAGAAATTCACGCAGTTTAGTTCGAATATCGTGACTCAAAAAACGTTGCTATAAACCAACCGTAATTGAGCTGTTTTACAAAGAACTGCTTTTACAAAATCTGTCCAACAGACTTAAAATTTTGCTTTCACAAGCGAATTTATTCTTGGATATTCTCCTTTATCATAAAATTCACAAAGATCGGCTGCGTAATATAAATCAGAAAATTGATGAAATAATCAATTTAGTTGAGCCAAAGAAAAAATCCAAGACAAGCAAACAAATTGGCCAACGTAACTATCCACCTGAAACCGAAAACTAGTGGAACGATTTAATCGTACGAAAAGAGAATTAAATCGGATTCAAAATGATGCTTGAAATCCATAAGTTACTCAGTGAAGGAAAAAAGCATTGCTATTTTTACAATAAGAAACTTTATCCTACGAAAAACAATTCCACGGAAGACATCTATTATGGCAATTCGATGTTGGATTGAGGAGGAAAAGAAGAAAACCGTAAACGACGAAAATAGCGAGGATGAAAATCAAGACATAGTAATAGATGATAGTAATTTCATTATTAACAATAGCAATAATAAAAATAGTAACAATATTTAGATTTCGCACCAGAGTGACCAAAGAATAGGTTATACTCATAAATGGCTTTGGGTCCGAGTATTTTCCTCCCATGCAATCACTCTGGTGCTTTTAACATTATTATATTTTCAAGAGCACGCATTCAATAATCGAAATAATAAAATTTACTGTATGCTTACAAAAAATAGATTTTTATATATTTGACTTTTTGATTGCAAGATGTCAAGTATAAGTAGCGAAATATGATCAACGCTCAACGAGCAGTCTTTATCAATAAGGAACAAACTTCCGTTGACGTTGGCGAGAAGCTTTTACGTTAAATTTATTTCCCTTACGTTTCTTTCTTGGTTCATCATGTGTTTCTTGATCTAGATACTCCTGGAGAGTTAGAGTTTGGGTATTATTGATTTTACATAAGGGGTAATTTTTCTCCTTGTTTTTTTTTTCAAAATGCTTCTAATGGTGCTGTAATTTCTTTGGGTTCCATAGTGGATTTGATGTAATTAGTTTCATATTAATAATTTTTTATATAGAGATAATCCTGTTATGGTTTATATTCATCACATTCTGGTATGATGAAGTGAACATTAAAATTAAGACAAGTCCATAAGTTATGAATGAGCACATTATTACTTTTCAAACTGTCATCAGTCACACTGGTCAATTTTACAGCCACATCATAATCAGCCCCTCATTTATAGAATGTTCACTTTGTCTGGTTTTGTTGCAGTCAGCCCCATACGATCATTCACAACGCTTCGACTTCTGGCGAGTACGTCTTGTTTGCCGACGGTTTTGTTATCAGTTGAGTTGTAACTTTCCAGTCTTAGGTAATGCGATAGAGCTGGCTATTACAGATTAGCCAGTTTACCAATAAACCAGGAACGAAACCCAATTCACTCCAAGGAAGAATTCGCTTGCGAATGTGAACATTTTTCGCAAAGGGTTATTGATGAAAATTGTTTGGTTTGTCTTATTTAACGCTGGGTGACTAGTGCTGTTTCTGTAATAAAATCTTGCGATTACGATGACGGTCAAGGGTATAGTCCCCTGTAAATGTATTGATGATTTAACCATTACTATCTAAAAGTTGTTATAATTTAGTTATAATGTTTTTCATAACTGGAGTAAAAGTTGAGAGTCTGTAAAATGGTTAGTTGCTTGACTGCTATTGCATTTATACTTGCAATTCCTAATCTAATAATAAAAGCCAATAGAATTCAAGAAGATTATTCTAGAATCAGTGGCCATTTTGGTAAAGTCCCCCGCTGAATATGCTAACTATAAAGTCTTATACAGTGGTTCTGACCTTCGAAATCTACATTACACGTGGCAACCGACAATATACTGTACCGTTAGTCAACAAACCTTCTCATCGAAAATAACGAGACGCGCGACACTTGCTGCGATTGGTTTCGCATTTGTGATCTTCTGCCATTTACTCTTCATTGACGCCAATTCCGGTGTCTGTCGTAATTGCATGCCTCTGTTCTCATGCCTTCCGAAAAATAGAGGTTGTCCATTCTGCGATCCAACACAGCTGGAAAGAATTGTTTACGAAGACGATGAAATTCTTGTCTTTTTTGACCGAAAACCGGCAGCACGTACCCATTTGTTGGCCGTGCCTAAAATTCACATTCGTAAATATTATTTCTGACCTTCATTCTTCTTTAATATTTTAACCTGTTAATAAATTTTTTTTTCAGCCACGGTGAAAGATTTGAAGGCAAAACACGCCGAATTATGTTAGTCTATAAATTAATATTTCCCACCGACCATTGATTCATTACACATACTTGACCGTGATATCTAACGAACTTCTCTATTCCCTCAGTAAAACATATGCTTAGCACTGGGCACGAACTTCTCAAAGACTATGGATACACGCAAGATCAAATACGGTACGAAAATGTCAAGTATTGAGCTAACGCATTGTTATTATCTACTGGCATATCGTCTCTGTTTAGATTGTATAATATAAAAATGAACTAACACCTATTATCATATTTTACTCTAGTCTTGGTTTCCATGTGCCCCCTTTCAATTCGGTTCATCATCTTCACTTGCACTGTTTAGGGCTACCGTTTGTTAATATGCTCATTGGGATAAAATATACAGAAATGGCACCCTGGTACATGGATGGAGAGAGATTGTATGAGCAGCTGACACAAAAATAGAAAATCATTTATTTATAGCTTTGAAATAAAGTTAGATCACGGTTGAAGAATCAATTATTATTTACTTATTGTTATTTACTTGTTATGCTCATATTGATCTATACATTTATACCGACTTGTCGTAATTTGTTTCTAAAATCATTGAAAGAGCCTTCCTCGATGATATCCTCATTCTCTTGTTTCCATTTTAGGAATCCACTTTGATCACCTCCTCGTTGAACATATTTCCTTAGTGTTTCATCAACCTCAACATTGTTCGCGTCGGATAAATAATTCAAAGCTACTGCATAATGCAAGTATACATCAAGGTCATCCGGATCGATATCCAGAGAACGTTTCAACGCATCAACAGATGATGTAATTAATGCACGCTTGTCCACATTTGCGGGTAAAAACTGTAGCTGTGCTTTACGCAGATACAGTACACCAATACTATGCCATATGACCGCATTTACACCTTCTAATTCGACAGCAGCACGGAACGACATGATTGCCGTATCAAATAACTCTAGGATTTTCTCCTTTTGATCATCAGGATCAGATAGCAACATATCAATATACTCTGTTGCCAAGTCGCCTCTGTCACACAAAGCTTCAATGTTGTCATTATCCGTTTCAATTACGAAATTCAACTTTCGGAGAGCAGTCTCTCTCAACCTTTGGATCTGATGTATGGTTTCCCTGGATGGGATAATACTATGAGCATGATGCGACAAAACGCTGGCCCATTGAAGTTGGATATCGGCTTCACGAGATTGTACATTGAGACTAAGCGCTTGTTCAAGTAATTCAATTGCGCGAATGTAACATTCTTCATTGATAGCGAGATCTTCTGCCATCATGGCCCGAGACGTTAAAGCTTGAGACATTGACGTCAACGTATCAATAAGAGTGCTAGGTGTGACTTTCTCCTCATCTTCGTTTGAATCATCTTGATTATTTGGTTGTACTGATGAGGATGAACTGGCAACCTGTCCAGTCTGTTGTAGTTCTTGTTGCTGCAGACGAATCACCTTTTCAAATACCTCAATTGCTTCATTCAGTGTATCAATTGGTCTATCATTTGCTTCCAGATTGAAGATGACATCAGCTTTAGTCGTTAAAGCCTGAGCCATATTGTACAACGCATCTGTATTGTTTTCATCGATAGCAATGGCCGCCTTGAATTTTTCAATCGATCTAGTTAACAGATGCACTTTCTCTTCTGCAGTTTGTTTTGGATCATCGAGATGGGCAAGTATATACAATGTTCTACCCCTATAACCGAAAACGGGTCTCAATTATTAATAAGAATATATGACGAACTAGAAAATGGCAATGGTTTACAGACCAGTTGTATAAGCAATCACCGTTCCCAGGATCTTTATTGTGTGCCCTCTCGTACATATCACCGGCTTGTTCGTAATATTTCTTAGCCTTTCCAGAAGTTTGGCCAGAGTCCTGGAATCTTTCACCTGATCAATTATTTCGACATTTAGAATCGACGAATGAATCCAAACACATGCGGAAAAAAAAATACAATAAACCTCTTTCCTCGAGCCTTATTCCTTCTAGAATAATGTCAAGAGATTGATGATTAGCCAGATCTAATCTCGTAATATTTTTTTACCATTAAACCTACTCTTACCGGACATTAGCTTCTCAAATGACATATCGGATGTATTGTTATCCTTATTTTTGCTACTACTAGCTCTTTCTCTACGATTTCTGCCCATAATTATTTGTCAACAGAAGATGTAGCAAGTATTCGTGACAAAACAACACGATGTAATTAAATTTGTGTACTTTTTAGAACTTTTATGATGTTGGAATTAAATAATGTGAAGTCACGCAGTAATCTGCAGAGGTTAAGGCCAAATAAGGATAAAGTTGGTGCCAAACGTAGTACCCGTATGTCTAACTGTTGGCTTCACTTTTATCAGCTCGTTTGTGAGTCTTGAAACCTTTCCCATTATTATTAGCACTCCAATTTGATAGATGGCAGTTAAGTTGCGAAATAGGATGTCAATAATTACAACTGTATTCATATACTATGAAGCTGTAGACGACTGGTGATGGGAGCAGCTATACTATTATAAGAACTACTGATGGGAAATTGTCATGTTCAGCCACAAACTAAAAAAAATGATATCATTACAAGTATGTTTATTATTATAGACGTTATTCAAATACTATGGTGACACGTTAAAGCACCAATAAAATTATCAGGTTATAAGGTAAGGACCTTGTGAAAAGGGGGTGGTGACTTTTACTATAATACTAATATGGGGCAGACTGCAACAAAAGTGACATTCTTAAATAAGAGGCTGGTGTGGCTGAAAGTTAACTAATTTGACTAATACTAACGATGTTTTGAAAAGAATAATAGTGCCCATCATAACTTATGGGTTTGTTAATTTTAATTTTCACTTTATCATACCAGAATGTGATGAATATA